AACAAGTAGTGAAATAATTTACAATTTGATCATGGCTTCCAGTGAAAACAGTGGAGGCGATTCTTACAATTTGATCATGGCTTCAAGTGAAAACAGTGGAGGCGATTCAAGCAGCTATGCTGAACTGATTTAGTCTACAAAAAGCAAGCTCAAAATAAACATTGGTGAACGAAACGGCAGAGTTCAAAGACACAATCCGTTGTATTCACCCTCAATGTGGTCTGTCTTTGATTACATGGAATTTGTATTTCCAAGAACTCAAAACAAAGTCGAAGCTTGGCATAGACGCTGGGAAACATTACTTGCTCGATCTCATGTTGGTATTTTCACAATAATTAAACAAATTCAAAAAGAACAAAATGTAGTGGAAATGGAAATTGAAAGATCGATGCGCGGAGAACCAGCTCCAAAGAAGCGCAAAGAAGACGAAGACAGGGTGTGAGCGTTGCCTGTTCTTCCTTGTAATGAATGCTGTGTGAGATATGAGGATAAGAAAATGATTTATTATAGAAAATCTCTACACCACACTCTCACTGACAAAAATGCAAATGTATTGCCTTTTATAGGCCAAGAAAAGGGGGGTCAGAAAAAGAAAGATATAGTAAACCAATAAAAACAGAGAAGAGCGAACCTCTACCGGGTACCAACATGAATTAACGGGCGGTCAGATGTCGTTCGCTTACACCTCCCCGCTTCAACCAAATGAGGCTTGCCTCATCGGCCAGTAATATCCGCAAAAAAAAAAAAAAAAAGAACAAAAAGCTACAGAAAATGTTTTAACCGATGTTAGTAGGAAACGGGTGGCTGAGTAAAACAAACAAAACAAAAAGAACTAAAATGGAATAAAATCCCGCATGGTTGTGTGACCGACCCTCGCGGCTTTGTTTGTTCTTGTTAACAGTGGAGTGTGCTCCCTGGTTATGTATGCGGACCTGGGTGACGAGATAGATCCAGCGGTAGATTGGAGCAGTGGAAAACGTGTGTTGGTCGTTGATGGTGATGAAGAGAGCGAGCGCGAACGGTCATGTTGACAGGTTCGGTAAGCCCGTTGTAGCAAATAGCCAACGTTGTCGGTTGTTGGATAGGCCCTGTGGGAGCACATTCTGTGTAATGAAAGCGGTTTTGGCTTTATCTTCTTCTCGAATCGGTATCTGAAAATAGAAAAAATGTCGGTTGTTGGATAGACCCTGTGGGAGCACATTCTGTGTAATGAAAGCGGTTTTGGCTTTATCTTCTTCTCGAATCGGTATCTGAAAATAGCCAGATTTTAAGTCGAGTTTCGTGAAAAATGCTGCACCACCCAACCGATTAATTGTTTCTTCCATGTTTGGTAGTGGAAATGCGTCACGTGTGGTTAACTGGTTTATTTTCCGATAATCAACGCAAAAGCGTGGTTTACCATCCTTTTTGGTGACGAGAACCACCGGTGACGCCCATGCTGATGTAGACGAACGAATAAGACCGGATTTGTACAATGTCTGAATTTGAGTGTGGATCAGTTGTTGTTTTGTCAATGAGGTCGGATATGGACGTGACATGACTGCTTGATGGTTACCAGTTTGGATTGGATGGTGAATATGTGTTTTCGCAATCCGTGTTTTGGATAGATCAAATAGTCCACAATATTTCTGCAAAATGGGACGACTGGTTCGTTTTCGTTCGTCACTTAAATGTTCAATGGATGTCTCAGTTATTGCTTGAACCTCGCTTGTCATTGGCTGGGATATGTTCAAGTTTTGGTGCTGTTGTGGTTGGACAGATGAAGTCATAGCGAAACATGTTTTGGATGGTAATACTTCGGTGAGCGTGCCGACAGTCGTGTTTCGGTTGATCACGTAGTTCTTGTTTGAGGTGTTGTAAATCGTAATGAATGTTTTCCCATGGCACACAGCCAAAAGCGCATATGGCAATAGTTGGGATGTTTCATATCGTAGTTTTATTGATGGCATGAACATGGCTGTGTCAGCCGAGAACGTTCGGCGATGAGTGTAAATTCGAATTGCACGCTCCTCATTTGGCTTCAGTACGATGCGGTTACATGTTCGAGCTTGATATTCTTGCTGTCGTAATCTTCTCAGCATTGGCGTGCTGTATTGTTTGCCGTTGAGGGTAATGGCAACAGATCGTGTTGCATAACTGGGGGATGCAGCATATGTTGTCATCCAGTCGGTTCCTACAATAATACCCGTGCACATGTCGTTAAGGATCCAACATTTCACATTCGTAATCATATGTTCAATAATCAGCTGTAGTTCGATGTACTCGGAACTCTCCATGGTCGTGTTATTTGCCGCTTGAAATACTTGCCGTTGCGTTGATTCTGAATTCGGTGTGTCCATTGTTGATAATGTGTATTTATCGATAAACGACTGCGAGGATCCGGTGTCGATAAGGATCTTCTTTCGATGCATGGTTCGATTCTTAGCCCCGATGGGTACTTCAATGTACAGCGCTGTCGATGATGTATTGCTATTGTTTTCGGGGGCACAACCATCATCTTGTGACCCCTTGATTAGTTTTTTTGTTCCTGGCTGCCTGACCGGTTATCATGTCGTGGTGTGGTTAGGCGTCGTCGACTGTTGTTGTGATTGTCGGTGGCATGTTGTTGCGAATAGCTGTGATATAATTGTTGATCTTCGTTCCAATCTTGTTCGCGTAAATTTGAATTCATTGATCGATTTTGTTGTTGATAGTCATTTTGAAAATTTTTATTATTGCGGCGATAATCGACGCCTGCGCGGTTCCCGTTCGATGATGCCGGATAACCAACTACTGACCAACATTCGTCAACCCGGTGTCCTCGTCTTCCACAATGAACACAAGTTTGCACATTATCGCGTCGTTGTGGGTGATCGGGGTGACGATATGGGGATGCTTGCCGATTCGGGGATGGCGTTCGACTTGTTCTTCTTTCCTCTGGAGTGAATGAGACATGTTTTTGAATACCTGCTGTTGTTGCCGGATCATCCTCATTAGGATGGTCATCGTTTATCCGTTGAATTTCTTCGGCCTTTTTCACAATTCGAATCAGGTCTGGCACCGTTATTGGCTCACCTTCAAAAACTTTTATTTTCAGTGATTGTTTCAAACCGTTTTTCAAATACACCAAGCGCTCAGATTCAGCCATGCGCGGATTGTATTCATACATCAAATTTTCCATGTCGTCGACGTAATGCTGAACATTTTCGTGGATAGCTTGTTTTCGATTGGTGAGTCGCTCAAACTTTTGAGTTACTGCCATTATTGGGGTAAATCATTCTCTAAATGCCGATTCAAAGTCGGCCCAGGAGGCATATCTATGACTTCTGTTTTTATACCAGTTTTCGGCTTCCCCTAAAAAACATTTATTGATCAATTCGAATTTTTGGTGTGTGCTTGCTTTTGTCGACGCAAAGGTGCTGTGAATTTTTCTCAGCCATTCGTCGACATCATCGTTTGCGTTGCCTGAAAATCTCGGCATATTGTTCACTTTTTCTTTGATCAGCAGTTGTTCCATATAGCGGTCGGGTGGTGAATATGAACCTTTTGTGGCTGTTAAATGATCAAGACCGAGTAGGTTCTTGTTGATGTCTGTCGCCCATTGACGTGTCGATGTCTTTGGATCAATTGAAGGCCATGGTTCGAGCGAATCCAGTAGCGGTAATGCATTGAGGGGAATAGATTGTTGTGATAGAGACGGCGGCGGGCGGATTGCACGTCGCACATTCCGAATGAACGTATCCCAGTCGTTGCCAATTTGTTGTTCGATCCGATTATACCACTGCGCGACAGCGTCGTTGACGCGGCTCAGTGAGTGTGTCACCCAATCTCGTGGGTGAATGTTGTTTAATCGAAAAACGAATTCCATATTTGATTGCCACTGATCAACGTTCGATGTATTTAATCGTTCAATATTTGTCAAATGTTTTAAATATTGTTGTTGTTCTTGCCTACGTTGTATCTGAACAATACCGGCCATCTCAGAAAGTCCAGCTACAGGGTCTGGTTGTTCTATTGAAGAACGCATAATGTTAGTAGGTTGTTGCACTGTATTATTTTGAGGCGAGATCAGTGTTGTCGATTCTTCGTCCGTAAATTGTCGGTGATTATTGAATGAACAGAGGTTCGAGGGATGCTGATGATCGGTCATCGTCAAGTGATACTCGTCTGCTGCTGGAGGCAAAAGTCCGGTTGCCACATCGGCCGCCGTGGACGACTGTTGCATTACCGTCGGAGTTGTTAAATGATTCGCGAATAGTACTTGTGGTTTGTCGTGGTGAGCTGATGAAGTTTCTTGATCATTTTCTTCTGTGCTGAATACATGTTCCTGTGCTTCTGATGTTATTATTGTTCTGCCGGAGCGTAGGGTTCGGGGTTCCGATTGGTTATTCGATGACATTACCAATGGAGTCAGTTGAAAGTCTAACAGACACTAGCTAACACTTCCTTTTTTCGTGGAAATTATGGGAATGAATGAATCGATGAAAATGATTAGACTTTATGTTTCCCGGACGCGTCCAGATCCGATTTGGAGTTTGACGTAAACTTTTCGAAGGTTCGAGCCCCGATTTCTTTTTTTTTTTTTTTTTTTGGCTGGAATGAACGTGAGTGAGTAATGTTTGAATATTAATCCGGGTTCGATCCAAAGTGAATGTTGTTCGTTTGATCAGATGGACCGGCTAGTGCACCAATGTGAGCGTTGCCTGTTCTTCCTTGTAATGAATGCTGTGTGAGATATGAGGATAAGAAAATGATTTATTATAGAAAATCTCTACACCACACTCTCACTGACAAAAATGCAAATGTATTGCCTTTTATAGGCCAAGAAAAGGGGGGTCAGAAAAAGAAAGATATAGTAAACCAATAAAAACAGAGAAGAGCGAACCTCTACCAGGTACCAACATGAATTAACGGGCGGTCAGATGTCGTTCGCTTACACAGGGAAGTCAAAATTCAAAATGTTATTGCTGATCGTGGTAATAGATCAACTATCGATTTTCTCCGGGGCATTGCCCATAATCTTTCCTTATAAATATTTCCAATCTTTTTTTAAAAGAATTATAGAAACCCAAGAGAAGAATGAATTTTGTAAAAAGCAATAAAAATTAGATTTTATGTCGTGGTTATCTATATTTATTGTCTTTCTCTATCAATATATCTGTCCTTTGTCTGCGGGAACTAGTTCATACCTCTTCTCTTATCGTGCCGTGGAAACTACTAGATTTAGCGGGCTACGATATGGAGAATTTATGGTGACAAAACAAGTTATCAGCCAATTGAACTTGTCGGCAAAGAGTACCTGTCGGCAAACTGTACCGGACCCGAAAAATTGCATAACTTCAGAGTCAGTACACAGCAATTCGAAGAGAGTTGAGAGGTATGAGTAAGACTACTGTGTGCTTATTTTGAGCTCAATCTCTAGCTGAGTTTGAGATGAATTGCACCCGAAGAGGAAGCCGGGTAAAACATGGTGAAATCGGCGTCAGTTGATTTTTGCAGTTCGTCTGCAAAGATCAAGTTCGTGTGTTCGATTCTAGCTTCGTGCAAGGATTGATTTTGTGTTTTGATAGTTTAAGTTTTAGAATCATATAATGGGAATTTATATTCTCGATTTCGTTCTGGTTCAAGATTAAAGCTTAACCCGAATCGGCGTCTCAGCACTCTAAAAAGAACTTCAGAAAGGACGCTTTTCAGCGTGTAAAACTTATACGTTTCAGTGCTCAAGAAATTGATATCTTACACAAAGAATGAGATATTTCTATGCCAGAAGTTGATTACATCACGTTCTCGAAGAAAAGTCGGACTTAAACATGGTGCAACTAGACTAAGAAGAGGGTCAGAAGATACGTCAAAATGCAGAGAAAATTCTGTATGATTCTCTTCTAGCATGTTTTATACATAGCAAGCCAACCCAGATCATTTATCCTGGATACAAAAAGTTGGCTTGGTGACTCTTTTCTTTTATGAATGTTTGCTTTCTTACAATTATTAGACAGTCATAATTACATTTTATCTCTGTAGGCAATGACGGCAGCCTGTTTTTCACTTTTTCCTTCTTCAGCACACACATCTACTTTAACACTTCAGCAATTTTGCATAACTATGTACAACCGAAAATTTTTTCTTTCTGTACGTCCATATTTGTTTAAGAACAGTGGTTAGACCAACTTGCATCGATATTTCTTTACCTTCTCTTGAACAAGAAAAATGTTTCATAGTTCTTTTCTGGCTAAAACGGACGATTTAACTAAATTTTATACATTCCTGACGGAAACATTTCATAGACCTACGATAATACGTTTCGATAGAATAGCGTTTATTATTTTTAAAACAAAATTTGTTTCAACATTGTTGAATTATTGAACATTCTTAAACGAAACTTGAGTCATACAAAGGTAAGTTGTAATTGTAGTTTTTATAACACTTCATTAGTGAATGTGCGGGTAACGGAACTATTTGATAATCCTTAGAGTCACTCAATGAGAGCCAACAATGACACTTAGGAAATTTGAAAACAAACGCTATATGATAGTTAAAGAGAGTAGTGTATGTAACTTTTTAAAATTTAATTGAATAATTTAATGAAAAACTGTAATCTAGATACCTATGAACATATTGGATTGTGTGAGAAATTTTCTCCGGAAACATCTATATCTGTGCATCATTGTCTCACTTTCAAAATTTGGAGAAAATAAGGGACACCAGTGAAGTGGCTCATTTTCTCTGTCCCAAATTTTGTTGTTACCGTTTGCAATCCTGACTAGAGCAGATTCGATGTTTTCCTTTCTCAGGAGATAAATAGATATCTCTTTAGCCATACTGTTCTTTCTGTTCGGCTGTGGAAACCCATGTACTGAAAATCGGCAATTAATCGTGAAATCATACGATTAATCGTGCGCTTAATCGCGATTAATTGACGATTTTTAGGCGATTTTAGCGATTAATCGCAATTAATTGATGATTCTTTTCTAGGTACTAGGTTCGAACCCATCTTAGGAAATACATATTTTTTTCTGTTTTTTCATTGTTTATTACGTATAATGACATGTGCGTCACACAGCAATGGTCTTAGCACCAGCTGGCGTCGGAGTCTTGCCGACGAGTCAGCTTTAAACATTGCCCACATACCAGCTGTTCAGTGGGCTTCTCGGTTTAAAGCTCTGAGGAACAATAGAGAAGACTCTTGACAACTCTGTTGTATTCTAAAATAAAAAGAAGATCTGAATATAAGTGTATTTTTCGATGAAATCGTGTTTCTTATATACAAACTTTATTGCAAAAGAAAACGGTGAATAACAACAACCATTTAATCACTTAAAATCAACAATTAATTGATGATTTTCGTGATTAATCGCGATGGTTGACAAAGTCATCGATTAATCGCGATGCACGAAAAGATTATCACTTAATCGCGCTTAAATGACCATTTTTTCCCGAATCGCGATTGAGCGGCGATTTTATCAACCATGGCGATTAATCGATAAAAATGAAGCGATTTTCAGCACATGGGAAGCATAAAAGGATTCATCCGCGATGTTTTTCATCCACCGTTTTCTTTTTCAAGGCGAAGTAGATAAAATATGTTTCTCCCTTGACTCGTTATCGATTCAAATGAATCTCAGGCTTCGTGTCCGTTTTCTTCAGTTGACAGTTACTTTCTCTAACAGATAGTTTAATTCAAAGACAACGTAAAAGAATTTTTTTTTGTTTGTTGAAGGTAATAGCTTTTTACAATAGTCGTGTATCATGCAAAACTAAAAAAATTTTGTGAAACACATTTGATGTATTTTGATATGCAGATTATGAATACGGAGAATACGAATAATTTGATTAGAAATACGTGAAATTTATTGTGTATGAGCTAATTTTTGAAATACTGAATTCATTTAGGATGATTAGAAATATTTTCTGATGCACAAAAACGCAAAATATTGTCAATTTACTTCGGAATCTTTGTACGTTATAACAACTACACAGGATGGACTTTTGGGCTCAAAGACTCTTACGTACCACTAAACATCCATTCTTATGTATGAATCGGACAGGGATCTTGTAAGGATCTTCCCAGCTTCTTGTCTGCTTTTGCTAAGCATCTTATGTGATTCTTACCAGATTCTTATATAAGAAGTGGCACGAAAGTTGCACGAATTTCGTAAAACTCAGATAAGAATGTCATAAGAAAGTGATAAGAGTTATTAGTTTCTTATTAGAGTTCTTATGAAATTCTTAGACGAACTTCTTTTTTGTCGTCTCGCGATGGTTCCCACAGCAATTTTCTTGAATTTTAAACAATAATGAACAAAAAAAGATTTTTTATAAAAGCCGGTACGTTGAGGGTTTCGAACCTGGTGGAGTTGTTCGTGAGAATCCATGGGTTCTCCTATTGAGATACTGCGGACACATTTATATATAAACATCGCGTCTTTATATTCTGCCGCAACATATTTTTCAACTAAACTTCTGTTATAAGTGGTGCATAGTATTTTGGAAATGGTGTGTATCACGACGGAATATAATTTAGTGCACCAAAATTTTAAGTTTATGATAGTCGATTCTAGACATGAGACTTCTTAAAATTCTTTGGCTTAGCAAAAATCTACGAAAAAAAAGTTCCTTCTTTGAAATCTTACTGGAACGAAATGAATAGAGAATAATTCTTGCAAAAATCTTGTAAAAATCTGATACGAATAACAATTTTGTAAGGATTCTTATCACTTCTTCTTCAAGATTGTTAATCGATTCTTATCTGATTCTTACAAAATTCGTGCAACTTTCGTGCCACTTATATAAGAATCGGATAAGATTCTTATCAGAAATTACAAAAATTTTTTGTCTAGGGCATACTCAAATTGATAAACTTCCTTTCGTTCATTCAAAAGGCGATCTGACAAACTTACGGACTTTTCCTGAAAACGGAATTTTTTTATAATTCTCCCGGTTAAAGTGCGAATTGTAAAAGAGTTAGCTTGTGAAGAACTGTGGCATATTTATTTGTTCCCATACTTTTGTTCTAGCATGCTTGCGTAGAGACGGGGATTCTGTACGGTGATGGCCTGGAATTTAATTGCCGCTGAAAACGGTATTAATATTTGTGGATGGGAAAAAACTCTAGTCTTCCAATAAAATACTTTACTGTGAATAATATTGGGCGGGTCTTTACACTGCCCACTTGCGAAAAAGGTTTTATTATAGAAAAACAAAATAAACAAGAATCAGAACTTAATATATGTTCAATGCAGTTGAGTTACAAATTTCTTCTATAAGAATTTTCTACATTCATACGAATGATTACGGTTCTTATAAAGATTCGGACCAATAAATTATGGATTTCCATCGACTGCCTTATTAAGAAATTCATAAGATTCCTATAAGATTGTTGTAGATATTCTATAAGATTCC